CAATTTGTTGCCGACATGTCTTCTGTGAGCCTTGCATACTCCGCATAGTGGAGAAGGACTCCCCTTTTATGAAGTGTCTCATGTGTCGCCGGTATTTTGAAACGTGGGAAGAGTTCCTGTATCAGTAACGGTTGTAACAGTTGTATTTTTTAATTATTTGTAAATTTATACTCTTTATACTTATTGTATTTGTTAGAATTACGAATTTAAACTTTGTCTGACCTAGTTGGTTTAGCTCATGTAGCATGCATTTCTTAACTATTTCTTAACTTGACTGCTTAATTATCTATGTTTTTAGTCAAGTGTCAATACTCTTTATACTTATTGTATTTGTTAGAATTACAAATTTAAACTTTGTCTGACCTAGTTGGTTTAGCTCATGTAGCATGCATTTCTTAACTAATTCTTTACTTGACTGCTTAATTATCGCCATTACTCTTATTACTTATTGCATTTGTTAGAATTACAAATTTCAACTTTATCTTACATAGTTGGTTTAGCTCATCATGTAGCATGCATTTAACTATTTCTTTACATGACTGCGTAATTATCGTCAATACTCATAAGGGGGGACCCTGGTGAAAAAATGGCCAAAACTGTCAAAAGTTCGTGCATAGAAAGTTTCAGATTCAACAGGTTGAACACCTCTAAACTATGTGGGAAGTTCCTTTATCATTTAGAAAGAATTAACATTGAGATCAGTTGTCGTTGGCTTAAGGGAAGGTGGGGTACCATGTGACACGGCCACCATGTGACATTGGCTTTTTCTCCCAAACGGCTCGCTATCCAACTGCGGTAAGAAGACTCAAAGGAAGGTATCAAGAAGGGGCATCGACGTCGAACAGGCCGTGACTGTGCGTCGAACAGGGCGGAAAGTAGAGACACGAGAAATTTTTACCCCCCCAAAACAGGTTATTGGAATTTTTTTTTGTATTTCACGCCGCGTCCGCTTTTCACCTTTTAAACACACTTAAACGGCCTATGCCTTGCAGGATGTTCTCCTTTGATGTTTTAAGCGTAAAATAGGCTTGGGCTCGCTTCTCTATCGCAAGGGATAAGGGCGCAGTTGTCAATTCCTCGAAAGCCACCCCTTCGGTCACGATGTGACACTCGATGTGGGGCACGATGTGACACCTCTAATCCGCGATTTTCCTGTTTTCCCCAATAAGTCCTGCTTTTGTGTGTCGTAGGCGTGGGATATTACACTAACCCTTGTGTGAATGTGTTTGAGAGAGGTTAGGGGCAGTGGTGTTTTCCTAAAAAAATTATAGGCCATACGGTGTCAAGGGTTGCCTACTTTCCAGGCGCCATGTGTGGAATAAAACAGAGAGAAGTCAGGTCCGTCCTTCTTAACATGTCTTTTTTAGTCTGTGTGGCATTTGCGGAGTTGTGTTCCACTTACCACAATTTGGCATATGGCTGTATGTCTAAATGGCATAATTCAGGCCCATTTATATTAATGAATAGAAGGCAGCCTAGATTACTGACAAGCAGTCTAGTGCGAGTCGGGGTACATATTAAGTTCATTTAGTCGAGTGGAGCCTCAGTATTTGGGGATTTTCGAGGCGTGCGTATGCGACCGTATGGCCTGGAAAATTTTATAGGCCATACGGTCCCCCTCATTTCGTTAATAGGCCATACGGTGTATGGCCCCGTATGGCCCGGAAAACACCACTGGTTAGGGGTGGCTGGGCGTCTCTGGGGGCTCGAAGGCAAAGCCTAGCGCCGCCTGGTGGCCAGGTTTGGAACTACAAAGGAGTTGGCCTCGGCAGACGACACCCATGGCCGGGCGCGGGCCGGGCCGACCTGCAGACGGTACACTGAGAATGAATGGGTCACCATCATCCATTAAATGGGTGATGCAACTTCGTTGCCCAATTTTAGGTGACGAAAAAATCATCACCCGAAATTTGGTAACAGGCGTTCGGTCGCCCAAATTTGGGTAACGCCGTCGACGACGCCGTGAGGTCCCCGATGACGTCCTTCCGGGGCCAGCACGATGACCGGAGGCCTCAACGCCACATTGGGTCATCGTGGTGGCCCCGGAAGAACGTCATCGGGGACGTCACGGCGTCGTCGACGGCGTTACCCAAATTGGGGTGACGATTTTATGACTGCCCAAAATTTGGTCACCGCTGGCTCGTCACCCAAATTTGGGCGACGATGCGTGCGACAAAAATAAGTTGATTTTTTAAAATAAATTGTATTTTGATTAACATAGATGTGTTTCCTTGCTTTCCTAACCATTTTAGAAATACATCTACGAATATTTCCATTGAAAAACAGCAATTTTTACACATTAGTGTGAGGTGTCACATAGTGCCCAGGGGCTGTCACATGGTGAACTCAGTGGTACACCATGTGACATTTTACATGCACCCAATCAAACTGGGATACCTTCGCAACCAATCGAGGTAAAATGAAAAGCTCAACGGGACTTTGAAGCTAAGGGACCCCTCTTTGTCGGCACGAGCAGTATGGATCCGTACAATTGTTAGTTTCGTGTTGGCGGGCATCCGCCTAAAAGTGTCACATGGTACCCCACCTTCCCTTATACGCTCAACTTCACAGCTTTGCTCAGTCGACAAAAAATTTTGTCGTAGAAAGACTTCCTGCATTCCTGGTTGACACCTACATGAGTCGTCTTGCATGGACTCTATTCATTGATGACTTGTCGACAAATTTAAGTATTGGAATCTCGATATCAGCCCTACTTCTTTTTAGAAACACCTAAAGGTTTGAAAAAGAGGCAAAAAATTCACTTTTTTTAAATGTTAAAATTTGAAAATTCATATCATAGGACAGCAGTTGAAATTGAAAATTCCGTCACTAAAATCTCTTCTGTACATCTTTAGGATAACCCCAAAAAATTTTCAAGACTTTCCGTTCCAATGAAAGACACAGGAAGATTTTTCCCCAACGCTCTAAAAAACACTAAAAAGCCACTTTTCTCAGAGACCTTTCAACATTTTGGATTGAATTTTGTTTAGGGAACTCACCATAATGATCCTAATAACTAAGCAAAGTTTCAACTATCTGGGATTATTTTAAAGCCTACTTGAAAGTTTCACCAGGGTCCCCCCTTAATACTTCTTGGCGGAGCAATAGCGAAAGCCCGTTACTCCAGTGGGGTTGAAAAGTTTTGTCTGTCTGCGTGCGTGCGTGACTACTCCTCCTGAACGGCTCGGCCGATCTGGCTGAGATTTTTCAAGCTCATTTGGTGTGTTCTTGGCTCGGCACACGCGAAATTTTACTATCCTAGCTGAACTTGTTCAGTTTTTATAGCCGAAAAACACCTAAAAACGGCGAAAAATCAAGTTTTCTGCAGGTAGATCTCTTCTGTCTTGATAGAAGGGGGGCCTGAGCCCCTCATCCACGACAAATTAAAAAGTTACAAGGGTCAAGATCGTGTAATTTGTAGATAAAGCAACTCTATCTAGATTGAAGGGAGGTCTGGGGGGCGAAGACCCCCAGCATGCAATAACACTGCCAGAAAAAAAGTACGGAACATGTCTGGTCAATAATTTGCCAGGACCGTCCGTACTTAAGGGGGGACCCTGGTGAAACTTTCAAGTAGGCTTCAAAATAATCCCAGGAAGTTGCAACTTTGCTTAATTATGAGGTTCATTATGGTGAGTTCCCAAAACAAAATTCAATCCAAAATGTTGAACGGTCTCTGAGAAAAGTGGCTTTTTAGTGTTTTTTGGAGCGTTGGGGAAAAATCTTCATGCGTCTTTCATTGGGACGGAAAGTCTTGAAAATTTTTTTGGGTTATCCTAAAGATGTATTGAAGATATTTTAGTGACGGAATTTTCAAATTCAACTTCTGTCCTGAGATCTGAGTTTTCAAATTTTAACATTAAAAAAAAATTGATTTTTTTCCCTTTTTTCACACTTTTAGGTGTGTTTAAAAAAAAGTAGGGGTGATATCAAGATTCCGTCGCTAAAATTTGTCGACAAGTCATCAATGAATAGAGTCCATGCAAGACGGCTCATGTAGGTGTCAACCAGGAACGCAGGAAGTCTTTCTACGACAAAATTTTTTGTCGACTGAGCAAAGCTGAGAAGTTGAGCTTAGAAGCCAACGACAACTGATCTCAATGTTATTTCCTTCCAAATGATAAAGAAACTACCCAATTAGCTTAAAGGTGTTCAACCTGTTAAATCTGAAACCTTCTATACACATTTTTATCTATTAACTTTGAAAATACTATTTTTTGGAATTTTGGCGATTTTTTCACCAGGGTCCCCCCTTAACAACTACGGAACGTTCCGTACTTTTTTCCGTACCCATTTATATGGGTTCATGTGGAGCAAGTACGGAACGTTCCGTACTTTTCTCCGTACCTCCGTACTATATTTTTCTGTACCATTTCCGTACAAAAGTACGGAGTTTTTTACAGTTAAATTAGAAGTAACTGACGGTGGACAAGCATTGCCTGCCGAAGGCAGGCTAGCGCCGCAGGCGAAGGTAGGTACGCCAGGCGCGGATTGGAGGAACAGACATCGCGAAGCCTGTTACAAGACGCGGTCTGGCGTAAACGTACCTTTGTAAACCTACCCCACTGGAGTAACGGGCGCGCACACACACACATGCACACTTAAAAAAACTTTCCAAACCCACCCGAATAACAGGCTTCGCTATCGCTCAGCCAATAAAATTCTGTGAAGCCATCATGCAAATTTCATGGCAATGGACTTGTTAAAAAGTATAAACCTTGCATTAACGTGGAAGCTGTATTTCAGTGACATCATGATTCGCTGCTTTGGTCTGAAGAGAGCTAATGAGTACTTTTAGCTTCCTCTGAAACCTCTGAGCAGTTAGGATTGTCTTGGATCAGCACTGACAGCATTAGGATTATTCTATTAGGAGGCGTCGGATTGTGTCTCGGAAACAGTCTGCTGCAGTTCGGCCGACGCAGACATCAGCAAGACGAGAGCTGCACCCCCATCCCCTCCCCATGCCCCTCGCCCGACCCAGTACAGACGTTGTGAGTGGGGGTACCGTGCCGTGGAGTCCCTTCGCACTGCAAGCCGAAGCCAGTGAGCCGAGTGAGCCCGTCCGTGCCCGCACCAGTAGTGATTGGAATTGAGATCCGCGCGGGTGCGTTCTGCAGTATCTCAGTTCTTGACGACAGCATGGTATCGCGCGGACGCGAAGTTTTTATCGGCTCAACCTTCCTCAAGGATTGACTTCTCGCCCCTCGAGCCGCACGGCTACGTTTCTCTCAGGTGAGCGCCTCGTACTGCCGCCGTCGCCAGCTTGCTCAGCGATTTCCGTCTCATTATTGCAATAAAGCACGCGGCTTCATAGGCTTCCCGACATGCTGCGTCAGTTTAGACCATTGTCTCGCCTGGAATTTAAACACTGAATTACAAGATAGGTGTACGCCAGACCGTGTCTTGTCGGTAGAGGCTTCGCGTCAATCCAGGCCTGGCGTTTACACCTACCTTGGCCTGCGGCGTTTTCTGCTTGCCTTCGGCAAGCCGTCACAGCTATTGATGTTGAAGCAATGAGTAGCGCACTCCGTGATGAAGGGTTTGTGACGGGTTCATGATCGAAAATGCCTGTATTTGTCTTGCGACTTCAACTCATTGCAACGGAGGCCCGGCAGGAGCGAAACAAATCCGTGGCACCGATTGCCAAATGGTCGGGCTCCTACACTGGTAAAACTAAAGCGTAGCTGTAGTGGTTGTGACGATGTGTTGGAATGTGCAGGATTTTTGGCGTAATAGATGTGACACTCATGTCTACTTACACTGCAAAGTTAGCAGCAAAAGTACTTGCCACAAATTTGACAACCCGTCTTGAATGCCAAGAGTTGGCAAGCTTTGACCTGAAATCGTCACGAGCTTGTCAAATATTGGAAAGCTTGGCATGAATATACTCCCAAGGTTGCCAATTTTTGGCATTCAAAACGGTTTGCCAATTTTGTGGCAAGCAAACTTATAAGTGGCATACCACTGACTTAGCAGGGTACTCTACAAACTCAAGTGTGTACAGTACACTTCAACCTGAAGTGTACATGCATGTACGCTTTAACCTGGAGTGTACATGCATGTACACTTCAACCTGGAGTGTACATGCATTTACCCTTCAACCTGGAGTGTACTTGGCATGTACACTCCAGGTTGGCGTGTACTTGCCAAGTACATGCCAGGTGGCTCATGCCTGCAGGAGCAAGCAACAGTGTACCTGAAGGTATGCGCCACCTGGCGTGTACTTGGCAAGTACACGCCAACCTGGAGTGTACATGCCAAGTACACTCCAGGTTGAAGTGTACATGCATGTACACTTCAGGTTGAAGTGTACTATGTACACACTTGAGTTTGTAGAGTACAAGCTGTTTTGAGACTTGATTGTGAAATGCGTTGAAATTTCGTCCATTATTGATGTGGGAAGTTGTTCCCCGTCGGTGGTCGTTATCATGGCCCCTCCTGGTTCGCGACAGGGTGGGTTATGCAGCTGAGTCAGCGAGGCAGTCACGATGGAAACCAGAGCAGCGGAGGGATCCGAAGAAGGTCGGACGGCCTGCAGCTGAAATGCGACGCCGACATTCCGGTGTGGCAGACGGGAAGCCCTCACTGCGTGCACTGCTAAGCCGGTGGGAAGTTTGCTGGCCACAAAGTTGGCAAGCCGTTTTGAATGCCAAAAGTTGGCAAGCTTGGCCCGGAAACACCCCCCCCCCCCAGCTTGTCAAAATTTGGCCCAGCTTGCCAAAATTTGGCAAACTTTTGAAGATTTTCGTCCTAAGTTTGCCAAACTTGTGGCAAGCTAACTTACTACCGGCTTTGCAGTATGTTTTGCCTCCGACGGTCTTATCGCCGTGTCGCGGGGATGGACATCGTGCTGACTCTGTTTTTCAACAAATGTGATTCCAAAACTCGGTTTTATCTCAAAAATTTGAAGTAAACGTGTCGCAAATTGGATGACATCGAGTGTGCGCACCATCACTGAGAATGAAAGAGTCATGATCATGACTAAAATTTTGGGCGAGGAATTCTTTAGCACCCAAATTTGGGTGAGGAAGGTTTCCTCGCCCAATTTGGGTGAGGAAGGTTTCCTCACCCAAATTTGGGTCATAATACTACGGATCCATCTAGGTAGCCAGATTTGGGCGAGGAAACAATCCTCGCCCAAATTTGGGTGATAAAGTATACCTCACCCAAAATTGGGTATTAATCATGACTTTTTCATTCTCAGTGATTGCAGACTGCCAGGACCAACGAAGAGGACGTCCAGTGCAGCGATGGCCGCGGGCAAGGCGGTCTGGATGGCGCAGGCCCGGTCCACGGCGGGCTCCATGATGGTGGCGGCGTCGTGCGGCGTGGCGGTGGGCTGGGCGTCGTCGGCCGTCGTCAAGCTCCAGGACCGCACGGGCCCCTTCCAGCTCACCGACGACCAGGCCTCCTGGGTCGTCTCCCTGAACGACGTCGGCATCTTGGTGAGTGGCGCCCGCACGCGTCCGCAGGAGCCGTGGGACCAGATTGCCCCACGAATACTCAGCACACTGCTAGCCCATTTTGGACCAAGCTCACGCTCCTGGGCGTGGAACGCAGACGATTCCGTGTGGTCCACGCTTCATGCTTCCAACCACACTGCAAACCCAAGTGTGGGACAGGCATGCAGTCGACAACGTGGGAAAAACTGAGTCACCTCCTGACAGAAAAACGCATCTTCATAGGGAATCCCACGGTAGATACGCACTACAAGATCAAATGTGTGCTTAGTACACAGCTATGGGAGCGTACTTGCAAGCACACATCTATAGCTGTATGCTTGGACAAGCACACATCTATAGGTGTGTGCTTGGCAAGCACACAGCTACAGGTGTATGCTTGGCAAGTACACATCTATAGGTGTATGCTTGGCCAAGCACACTTTAATCCCACCCATTTAAAGGCATACTCCTACAGCTGTGTGCTTGGCCAAGCATACATCTATAGATGTGTGCTTGTCCAAGCATACATCTATAGATGTGTGCTTGTCCAAGCATACACCTATAGATGTGTACTTGGCAAGCATACACCTATAGATGTGTGCTTGCAAGTACGCTCCCACAGCTGTGTACTAAGCACACATTTGATCTTGTAGTGCGCTGTTGTGTATGAACACTACACAACTGTCGCACGTTTGTAAGCGTTGGAAAACGGTCTTACGTTTGCACGCTAATCTTCTTGCGTATACATGCATCAGTATTGAGGACATTTTTGTGCAAAGTAATAATGGATGGATTTTGCTTGTTATACAGATGATTTTATCTGTATTACAAACATTATCATCCGAACCTTGCGGACAATTTCGCTGAAATACGGTTGAAATCATGCCCTCTATAAACACAATCCATCCGTTATTACGTTTGCACAAAACTGCCCGTATTGCGGATATAGTGTGAGCGGAACGAGTCTTGAGTGTGTAAGCGTGGGAAAACTGTCCCACATTTGTCAGCGTGGGCACGAGTTGTCTCCGTCTCACGGTATCTATTGCATGCGCAGACGCACGCATTTCTCTCTCTCTCTCTCTCTCTCTCTCTCTCTCTCTCTCTCTCTCTCTCTCGTTTCAACGTGACACTGCAAATTGGATGGAAAGACTTCGCGCCAAAATATGGCGAGACATAAAAGTCTCGCCAAGTTTTGGTCAGACCTGAAAGTCTCGCCAAAATTTGGTCAGACAAAAAAGGGGAGCAGGACAACTCGTCCCGCGTCCCACTCGTCCCGGGCCTATCTCGACCCGGGGCATTTTTCGAACTCGTCCCGACGGGGCGGCCAACTCGTCCCGAACCATTATTGGTCCTAGTCCGGTCCAGCCAGGAGCCGTCCAGGCCGGTTACTAGTAACTAGTACATGCAGCACAGCGTGGTGAAGCTTAAATCACTACGGAGTTGCATAGCTTTTGCGCCAGGACTGAACACGCACAAAGACAGAAGTGCTCCAGGGCCCAACAATATCAGCTTTCGGGCTAGAGGCGCTCTTTCAGCCTTTCTGGCACATTAAGGTGCCGAAAGTGGATGATTCGATAAGATATTTGTTTGAGAAACTTGTAGGAATGCGAAACTGTAATACTGAAAATAAAAGCTTCAACTCAGTGGCCGCATAGTGGGTTTCAAGTTAAGAATCAGGAAGATTCCTAAAAGCAGATTTATTTTTGGCGCACCCTAGCAAACATATGTTTTTGTTGGTACGACGCGAAGCAGCTATTCATAGGACCCATCGAAAAATACGGCCAATTTCAATTAATAACAATCACTCATAATATATAATTATTGGGACGATTTAGGACGGGGACCACTTGGGTTGGAACGGGATAACCCCGGGACGTATTGTGCCAGGTACGAGTCGGTCGGGACGAGTTGTCCTAGACCACTCTCCGACACTCCACGGACATTTTTTTCAGTAATCCTACAGTTTAATTATTTTTTCTGCAATTATAGTCCTTTTGATTGTAAGTACAGAAAAAATAATCAGCAACCTTACAGAAAAGTGGTCTGTTGATAATATTTTCTGCAACTACAGTTATGATCAAGCAGAAAAAAATTACTGTTCCATTCTAGTAAAAATGATCTATAAATGTAGGCAAAATGTTCTCTACATACAGATAATATGTACAAGAATTAACAGAAAAGATTTTAAAGAGTCAGAATAACTTTTTGGATGTTTCCGCTAAAAGTCACAATTCAACCATCTCTTAAAAGCCGCTTACATTGAGTCCTTTCTTGACTTGTCGCAGCTAAGAATGTTTTGTAGGATCATTTTGACTAAGCGCATTACCTTCCACTCAGCTTTGTTTGAACGGAGAAAAATTTCACTGAAAATATTTACTGAAGATCACAAAGTAGTCATCGACAAATTGTTTATGAGCACAAACTTTATCTTCTACATTTGCAGAAAATAAATTCTTTGATTATAAACAAATTTGTCATCATATTTCTACTGACATTGTAAATTTTCTGTAAGTAAGTAAAAGATTGTCTATAATTACCAAATTTGTTACCGCTAATTTATCTGTATCTCATGTAAAATTTATTCGATATGTTATTGAAAATATTTACTATATCATAGTAACGCTCTAAAATCAGTAAGCCGTAGAGTAAATTTTCTACAATATAGAAAAAATAATCAGTGAAGGTCTGAGAGTGGCCCCAAAAAAGTCCCGCCACAAAACGGTCAGACACAAAAGTCTTACCCCAAAATGGCGAGACTTTTGTGTCTGACCGCCACCTGAAGGCCGTATTGCGCCGGACAGTTACGGCCTAAAGGCCGTGGTCAGACACAAAAGTCTCGCCATTTTGGGGTAAGACTTTTGTGTCTGACCGCACTGAGAATGAATTGGTCACCACCATCACCCTTTAAGTGGGTGATGCAACTTCGTTGCCCAAATTTTGGTGACGAAAAATTCATCACCAGAAATTGGGTAACAGGCGTTTGGTCGCCCAAATTTGGGTAACGCCGTCGGCGACGCCGTGAGGTTCCCGATGGCGTCCTTCCGGGGCCACCACGATGACCGGAGGCCTCAACGCCAAATTGGGTCATCGTGGTGGCCCCGTAGAGCGTCATCGGGGACCTTACGGCGTCGCCGACGGTGTTACCCAAATTTGGGCGACGATTTTATGACTGCCCAAAATTTGGTCACCGCGGGCTCGTCACCCAAATTTGGGCAACGGTGCGTGCGTTACCCAATGAAAGGGCGATGGTGGTGACTCTTTCATTCTCAGTGCGTTTTGTGGCGAGACTTTTTTGTCTGACCAAATTTTGGCGAGACTTTCAGGTCTGACCAAAACTTGGCGAGACTTTTATGTCTTGCCTCTGGTGTCGCGAGAAGTCTCACCTCTGGATTTGTAGTGGATGTCACGTGTTTCTATGTGATGTCTTTCTTGTTTCAACGCGATGTCACGCTCCGGGAATGAGAGAGAATGCATCCGTTGCACGACTTGAGTCTCCCTGTTGCAGCTGGGCTCGTTGCTGTCCGGACTGTGCTTCAGCGTGCTGGGCCGGCGAGCCACGCTGCTGCTGTGCCCCCTGCTGCTCCTGGGCTGGGCCGCCCTCACCTTCGCGGCCACGGCCCCGGCCTTCTTGTACGTGGCGCGGCTGCTGAGCGGGGCCGGCATGGCCGTGCACTTCGTCTACGGCAACGTGTACCTCGCCGAGGTACTCATGGGGGCAACTTCTGAAAATGCGGCGGTTTCCACGGACAATCTCACTGATTTCAAATTTAGTCGCACTATCAAAATTTATTGGAAATAAGTAGGTTAGGCCCTTTACCTCAGAGGCAGCCAGAAAGCAGCACTTTTCCCTTGTAGGTAGACAGCTTTTGTGCCCCCCTCCCCCTTTTTCATGCACACACAAATTGAATGTGTTCAGTGAACCCTTCTTAAACTAAGTGTTTTATGTTGGATCGCGCAGAGTTATTCAAGCTGAGATTCCTTGCAGGTTAACGGGTTACGCAACAATACTATGTCAAGACTTGCATTGTCCATTTTTCAAGATATGTCGGGTACTTTTAACTGGACTGCCTTCTCAGTGACGTGTGCTCTTGTTGAGGTGTCGGTGCGCTCGAGCCGCGGCCTTCTGTCGCTGCTGACGTCGCTGTTCGCCATGGCGGGCACGCTGCTGCAGTTCTGCGTCGGACCCTACGTGTCATACCGGACGCAGGCCTGGCTGGGCGCGCTGCCCGCCGCCGCGGCCCTCGTCTTGCTGCTGCTGTTTACCGTCGAGTCCCCGTACTACCTCGCCATGCGTGACCGCCCGGTAAGCACGTTCCTGGCCAGTGGCGGGTCACACTAAAGTCCTTACGGATACCGTGTTTGTAGGTTACGGCTAGTTTTGTGCAGCCATATTAGGGATGGAATTTCGTTTGTATTACATTGAGATTTGTCACAGACGCACTGCCCAGGTCACACTGGTCAATGCCTCTGCGATGCGCCACGCACCGCTGCAGCGCTCAGCGCGCTAGCCGCCGTGCTATGTGACGCGCGTGCGCAGAGAACATGGGCCGCGTCGCCCCGTGTTAAATGCCAGCTAACCAACACGACTGGCAGATAGGTTGCCTAGTAATCAGGCGTGAGCCCGCGTGAAAGATTCCAAACGCTTTGGGTATAGCACGTACCTATAGTGCAATGCACTGAGATACCGCACCATAAGTGCAATACCACAGCCATATTGCACCTTACGTGCAATGCTTCGCGAAAATGCCCTATGCTAATGCATGAAAATGGGAAGGCCGAGAGGAAGGCGTTGCACTTCGTGTGCAAATGGAAAAGCATGGCACCAATTGACGCTATATTCATTGCGTTTCGATTTTCAGTGTGCGTATGTTTTTGCTCATAATTCAAAGGTTTTGATGTCTGTCAGTTACAAGAAAATTATTTGTAAATAACGGACACGAAAACCTTGTATTACGCACAAAATGTCATGGGACTTTTTTGTCCCACGATTTATGCAATTTCAAGCACATCCCACGCTGATACAATTTTGTTCCCGCCTGGCGACACATTTTGTACGACGCCTGCTGCAAATTGTACTTTCACTGGACAATTTGTCCCGCCCGGCGGACACAAAATTGCATCACCACCGGATGTGCTTAAAATTGCATCATTCATGGGACAAAAAAAGGCTCATGACGTTTAGTGTGTATACGGACATGAAAACCTTGTATTGCGGACAAAAACATCCGTATCACAAATGAAATTCGATCCGTAATGTAGCTAGCTGCACAAAACTATCCGTAACCTGCCAACTCGGTATCCGTAAAGATTCAAGTCTGCAGACCGGGCCTTGGGCAGTGGGTTAGGAGACCGGCGGATGCGGCTAAAATTCTAGACGTATTTCGAGCCTCTGAGCCGATGAAAAGGACTCCAACCGGACGCGTCTAGAATATTGGTCGCGCTTCACACTAATGTTTTTGAACAGATTTTGAACGAGACGTCTCAGTTTTTTGTGCAGAACTTTTGGTACGAATTCGTTCGCGAATTGGTACAAAATCTTGCGAATGTTTTCGTGTAAATTTGTACGCAGAATCACACAGGTTCGTGCGAAACTTGTGTAGAAATTTGTACGAAAAGCACATATGCGCAAAGACTGGTAGTTAACGAATGTAACGCCATATTCACTATAAACCTAACTGTCTACTAAGTACACACTTACAAATGCATGCTTGCAAGTACACACTTACAAACGCATGCTTGACGCAGTAAAACTCCATGCGTCACGTATACGTTTGTAAGCGTGTACTTGCAATCATGCATTTGTAAGTGTGTACTTGCAAGCATGCATTTGTAAGAGTGTACTTGGCCAAGCATGCGTTTGTGAGTGTGTACTTCAGAGCATGCATTTGTAAGTGTGTACTAAGTAGACAGTTAGGTTTGCAGTGTTCGTTCGAATGTGAATTTTGTCTCGTTCCGTGTGAATATAATGTCACATTCGTTTGAATGTTGATCCACGTTTAAACGAATGTGACAGCCTACTTAGACGGCCGAGTCACGTTCAAACGAATGTGACATCATATTCAAACGAACGTGACAAAATTCACACTGCAACGAATACGCTGAGATTCCAAACGCTACGCGTATTGCACGTATGGTGCAATGCAGCTGAGATATACCGCACCATACGTGCAATGCATCCTTAAAATGCCCTATGCATGGGAATGGGAAGGCACTGCACTTCATGTGCAATACAAAAGCATTGCACCAATTAACGCCATATTCATAGCGTTTGGATTCTCAGTGTATGACGTCACATTCGTTGGCTACTAGTGAAATTGTGAGAGACCACGGACCTTGGAACTTCGTGAGTATACACACTAAATGTCATGGGACTTTTTTTGTCCCACGATTTATGCAATTTTAAGCACATCCGACGCTGATACAATTTTGTTCCCGTCTGGTGACACATTTTGACCGGCGCCTGCTGCAACTTGTACTTTCACTAGACAATTTGTCCCGCCTGGCGGACACAAAATTGCATCACCACCGGATGTGCTTAAAATTGCATCATTCGTGGGACAAAAAAAGTCCCATGACATTTAGTCGAGGGGTGAATCACTCAGCGTTCTGGTGTACACATGAGTACATGAGTACGGGTGAGTACACCTTGCTTCACTCATAAATTTCACAATTTTGAACGTTGTGAGGCTTTATTTAGCGTTTTTAACGGCACTCAACGTTAAATCGGTCGAAAAACTAGTACATTTTCCCCTTTTTAAACTTGTGAGTACACTGAGTACGGGCAAATTTGTACACATGAGTACACTAGTCATTCACCCCTCGCATTTAGTGTGTAAATCCGTCTCTCCTTGACCCAAACCGCGTGTGCAGGACGAGATGCTGGCCGCCCTGGCCCGCCTCCGCGGCTGCAGCGTGGAGTCGGACGCGCTGAGGGACGAGGCCCACGAGATCGAGCGCACGGTGGAGCGGCAGCGGTCGGCCGGCTCGCTGTTGGCCGCGCTGTGTAGCCCGGCGTCTCGGCGCGCCGCCTCGGTGGGCGTGGTGGTGCAGGCCACGGCACCCCTCTTCGGCGAGTCCGTGCTCATGGCCTACGCACAGAAGATCTTCATCATCAGCGGCTCGCCCCTCGGCGACGCCCAGTCGGCCATCGTGCTCTACGTTGCGCAGGTTCGGTCGGTGGGACTGCACTCTCAGTCGAGGAACGTGACATCACGTTGAAACGAACGTGAAAAAATGTCACGTTCGTTTGAATGTGAACAAGCTGATTTTTGGCCAATTCACACCCAATCGAATGTGACACAATGCTCAAATGAAAGTGACATTTTGTCACGTTTGTTTCAACGTGATGTCACGTTCCTGGAATGAGAGTGTGACAATGAAAGTCTTGAATAATACCCAATTCTAGCGTAAAAATTTAAATTACATTACACTTTTGAAAATGTTTACAATTATTACTAACGATTTTTTGGCAATACGAGGGGTCCTATTCAAAAGACCTTATCCGGGTGTTCCCCCCAAGAGAATCTTAATTTGAAACGCAAGTGAATTTCACCAAGTGTGGTCATTTGAGACGGATACGAGAGGAAGCGAAACACCTTTCTACATGCATTTTTAATTTATTTGATCTTTCATCTCAAAGTTTATCACAAATTATTTTGATTTTTAACTGCATCAATGATCAAACTGTGTGAAATTTGCCTGCGTTGTAGTTAAGAATATTCAGGGGGGAATGCCCTGATAAGATCTTTTGAATAGGACCCGTCAAACAATCACCAAGTGTGGTCATTTGAGACGGATACGAGAGGAAGCGAAACACCTTTCTACATGCATTTTTAATTTATTTGATCTTTCATCTCAAAGTTTATCACAAAAAGTCCAAAAAGTCAAAAAAAGTCCCATGACGTTTAGCGTGTACGTAGGAACATAATCGACCATAAACTGAGTTCCGTGTTATAGCACTGTACTGTTCGTGTCCCCAGGCGTCGGCGTGCCTGGCGTGCACGGCACTGGTGGACCGCTGGGGCCGCCGCACGCTGCTGTCCGTGTCCTGCCTGGGCAACTGCATCGGCATGGCGGTGCTGAGCGCCTACCTGGGCGCCTCGCCCGACCGGCAGGGGCCGCTGCAGTGGATCCCCCTGGCCAGCCTGCTGCTGTTCGTCGTGTCGTGCAGCCTGGGCGCCAACCCCGTGCCCGGCCTGCTGCTGGCCGAACTGCTGCCGCAGCGCGCCAAGCCGCTCATGGCGCCGCTGTCCATGATGCTGTTCTCCGTGACGGCCTTCGCCGTGTCCAAGTCCTTCCTGGCGCTCGGCGAGGCGGCCGGCATGTTCGCCCCCTTCGCCGTGTTCGCCGCGTGGAACGCCCTGGCCGTCGCCTTCACCCGCCTCTTCGTGCCCGAGACCAAGAACAAGAGCCTGGCCGAGGTGTACGGCATGCTGAGCGGCAGGGAGGAGGCGCCGAAACAAAACTAAGGCTCCTTGAATTTCAAGGCGTCACTTTTGACGTGCCAAAGGTTGCCGACTGATGGAAAGACTGCTTCGGCAATAGGTGTTGACGCCTGGTTCTCACTCTGCGTTTAAGACGGTTGTGGTCCAGAATCAGTTTTCTGTCCGGCTTTCAGCGTTGTGGGTTCAGGAAGGCTTGGAGTTGAAGGGGAGGACTATCGGGGACCACGTGAGTATGAACGTACTCTGAGTGTTAATTTTGTCTCACTTGCTCGCTGCAAGATCCAATCAATGATAGCGTTTCGATATTTTACGTCCTACATTCATGAAAAGAAGTAACTGCTGTCATTTGAAACCTGTGCCACATTGATTTTTGTGTCGATAGATTAAGTATGCTGTGGTCACACTTGAACGTGTGATTATCCTATTTCTACTGTTCATTGTATCCTTTTGTATCAAATTAATTAAAAGGTTTAAAAAAAAAGAACTGTCTTATATTTATTTATGAATTGTTTTCTCTACATTTCATACTCTACAGTTGAACAAGTTTGGCGCTCGCCCTGGTCTGCGAACGAAAGTATTAACATTCAGACATAGCCAGGTCTCAATTTCAGGTTGCGGCTGCAAATTGTAATTCCCAATGCACTTCCTCAGCTGTTAATGGGGTCTCAGTAGAAGTTCCTCTTTCTCGAAGCGTGGGTGTGTCCGTCAGGTGCGCTACTTGGGGAACCTTAAGAAGACCCGTTGCGGTACCTTTGTGCAAGATTTTAACCATTATTTTCATGTTTATTTTCAGATTACGTAACTACTAAATATTAATTTGAGCTGCATCATTTCTCTCAAACAATTTCCAGATGAAAGTTCCCATTCTGACCTTACTCATATTACATTGTCTGAAACGCAAGTTTCATTCGGGACAGCTACTAAAAGGAATCGTGAGGTTATTCACACAAACCTTAGTGCTTGCAGAAATGTTTTCCGCTTACTCTCTTTCTTATCCGGTCCCAATGGTTAAACTAGACGAAATAAGCTAACGTTTAGGATAAGGTTCTTTCTACGGAGAGGATCAGTATGAATCTTTAATCCGGACACGAGAAGATTAGATCTTTTGAATAGGAACCCGAGGGTGCAAACATGCATCGAGATGCATGACTTGTTAACCTACATCTCATTTGGAGCAACCTTTCGGTTTGAATTTTTCGCTCAAAGGGCGTCTGCAAAAGGAAGCTAGCACCCTAGCAGAGAGAGAAGAGTTGCAACTAACACCAATGTCATCACGCCGCCGATGGAGGCAGACGAATTGGGAAGTGCATCAGTAGCCGAGCGCGCGGTGCTAGTCGCAGCTCGAGTTGCAGACGTGTTCGGGCGCGCGGTGGTCGCAGGGCGCGCGGTGCTGGTTGGGTCGTCGGGAAAGACGATGTCGCCGTCCCTCGGGACCTTCCGCGTCGCAATCAAGCGCTGGTAGAATTTGGCAGACATCTTTTGTGTGCGCGGCCGATTTGGGTCTTCGAAATCGACGTGGTAGATGCCGAACTTATGGCTGCGATGAAAAAAAAGAAAGACTCGTTATTGACTTTCAGGCAAATGGTATGGTGTTAACATTGTGTCAGTAGCACCTCTAGTAACTTGTGCAACAATAATACGTACGTTTCACTTTGGTGGCTCTTATTTACATATTTGTAAGTACTAATTGACAAAAACTATTTCCTAAATAATCTACGCTGTTAATTGTTCGTATCTAAGAAGAAATTACTACATATGATTGTTGTAGGCAATAGTACCTGATAACCGACAATAAGTCAGTAAGAGGCTGAGAGTGTGTCGTCCAAATCTGCCCTCAGATGGATCGTGGTCGTGGCTCGGCCCCTACACTCTCAGACTCCGACTGAGTTTTTCTTCTATAACGCATGGACGCTTGTGCACATTTATGAGAAGATTAACTTTTCTAATTGTGCTCGAAATGCTACATTTCGTCTTCACAGATGAACAGCTAACGCTATATTAACGTGCAAAGCAGTTTTATTGAACATTATTTAAATGTCAATTGAAGGATGAGAGGCGAGTGCACCCATATCGCACGTTTAACCTTATTTTTAAGTGACGTTCAGGGATTTGTTCGCGGTGTTCCTGATCCAACCAAAACAACTCGAAGCCGAATTCAGGGAAAACGCCAGGACGTTCCATTTGCCACTTACGCATAGCCGTAGAACCACTCGTAGTTATCCATGAGGCTCCAGGCAGTGTATCCGAACACGTTGCATTTGTCTTCCGTCATGGCCTTCAGTAGCTCGAGAATGTATAACTGAAACGCAGAAAGGGGAGTTAAGCGAAGTCCTTGACGACTTTTGAAGATGAGAAGGTCTGATTCCGGCGTGCTGGTGCTCTAGGACATCCATCCCATATGGACTGATTGGGGGCTGTAAGACTACCGAACAACTCTCAATTGTTGCGAAGAATGAGAAATTAACTTGATGGTAAGACAAACTGGCAGTTCGCAATTCTGCGACCAATGTGTTCCCAATACAAACAGGTTGTTCGCAAATTGCTAAGCATTTGTTTGCAAGTTGCTAACCACTGATTTCTATACGGTTGCGTTCTTTGCCTTGCGAAGAAGTCAGATTCTTCGCAAGCTTACAAGCACATCGGTTATGACGACGAATCATAGAAAGCCAGCATTCGTTTCAACGTTATTTCAAGGAATTGCACCCCGCTGATTTGATTTGGATTTTTTTCTTCTCAAATGTTGCGATATTGGAGTTAAGAGTTAAGAGTTGCGACCTTATCAGTGATTTTAACCGCATTTCTTGCACGGCAAAATTGGTTTCTGGTTTTCTCACGTAGCCTATAGGAAAAACGGCGATTTCCAGAGAGTTCGAGGCGAGGGGAAGAAAACCAGGAACCTTTATTGCCGTGAGCATTCAGCAGCCTCCCTCTGAAATCGACTCACTCTGTAATATCTGACGCGGTTAACGTCCTTCAGCTGTCCGCTGTCCGGGTACCCGTTCTCTGTGATAATGACGTTAGGGTTGTCGTACTCGGTCCTGATCCAGTTCAGTAGCTTCCTCAAACCCGTGGGTACCACCTGCACACAATGGTTTCGTGAAACTAAATACATAATGGTTGGAAAACTAACTGAAGACAAATCCTTTGTGGAAATCAACGAAAAACCTGACCCTTAATTAACGATGGCAGGGTAGGCCCATAAGGGTCGAACTTCACTTTTAATGTTCCCTGATGAAATTTGAGATGAAATTTACAGTGAATTCGGTGCTGACATTAGATGAAGCAAACTTTCCATGATAGGAATCTAGGTTTGGATTATCCTTTTCAGGGACAAAGAAAACCTTAACACTTCACGATGAAAATCTACCTTGTTATTATGCTCACGCCTTTTCCTTTGTAAGAGGGGCAAATTACAACATTTCTAAAAAAAATCACATTTAAGTTGGTGTCCTACTTTTGATGAAAACGTACATAGTGCCACGGTGCAATGGTTGCTTCCCAGCTGGGGTCACGCGATGTGACGATTGCCGCGTCACTGGCCCGCGTGCCCACTTCAGGCTGGGGATCGGAGGGCTGCAGCTGCGCCACCACTGTCGATGTGTACGAGTTCACTCCGCAGAAGTCAGCACTACCTGCAGAAGAGCACGAGCCAAAGAAAAAATGAATCTTCAGAATTAACAAAGGCTATTTGAACTTCTCCTTTCGGATGGATCTTTCTTCATGTACACACTAAATGTCAAGGGACTGTTTTCGCCCCATGAATGATGCAATTTTAAGCACATCCGACCTGGATACAATTTAGTGCGCTCCTGGTGGGTGACACATTTCCTCCGACGACTGGTGCAAATTGTACTTTCATTAGGCAATTTGTTCCGCCTGGCGTCCACAAAGTTGAACTATTGTCGGATGTGCTAACACACTAAATGTTTATGTAGAATTTTGTACGTCGTGATGCACGATTTTAAACCTGCGTGACGAATTGCATAAAATTGTGCAGAAATTCGCAATTTATGCATTTTTACGCATAATATTACGCCTATTCCCCGCATGCACAAAATCGTGAAGTGGCACGTACTAAATTCTACATAAACATTTACTCTACAAACCGAAGTGTGTACTCAGTATGCGTCTACAGATGCCTACTTGCAAGTACACGTCTACAGATGCATACTTAGCTGAGTACACGTCTGCAGATGCATACGCTCAGCAGGCGCGGATCCCGGGGGTGGGGGGGGGGATGGGGGCGTCACCCCTCCTGAAGGTGGCGAAGCCGCCTGAAAGGTAGGCAACAAGTCGCACATTACCCCTGTAGGTAGGCAACTTTAGCTACTTCCCCCCTCCCCCCCGAACCCGTCTCTGGACCCGCCCTTGACGCTCAGCTGAGTACACATCTGCAGATGCATACCTAACTCATCCAAGAATGCATCTGTAGATGTGTCCTCAGCTAAGTATGCATCTGTAGCGGTGTGTCCTTGCAAGTTGACGCCTCCTAAAAGATTAATCCTAACTGTCAATGCTGATCCAAGACAACCCTAACTGTCAGCGCAGATTGTACGACTTAAAAAGCTATTTCTTAATAAATTCTGTGACACCAACATGCTGCTTCAAATTTCTTGGCAACGGACTTGTTAAAAAGTATAAACCTTGCATATAAACGTGGAAACTGTATTTCAGTGATATCATGATTTGGTGCTTTGGACTGAAGAGAGCTAATGAGCAGTTATAGCGTCCTCTGGAACCTCTGAGCAGTTAGGATTGTCTTGGATCAGCACTGACAGTTAGGATTATTCTATTAGGGGGCGTCGAAGTATGCATCTGTAGACGCATACTGAGTACACACTTCAGTTTGCAGAGTAGTGTGTAAAATTGCATCATTCGTAGGACTAATGTGTGATATTCGCACGTAACAGCGTATGTATCTACCGTGGGATTCCCTATGAAGATACGTTGTTCTGTCAGTTGAGCACTCAAATAAGTCCCGTGACATTTAGTGTGCACCTTAAGCACCTTTTTTCCGGAAGTGCCCCTGTTAATTCCCAATTAATTTCTTTCTCTTGCTGCTCTTTTATTTTTACTCGCGTGCATACCTTTAATCATTTCAATTTCTTCTGCGGTAAACTTGGGCAACCTAGATCTCGCAAGCCCTTGCTTTGTACTTGCAGCGTCGATGTAGTCGATCATGTCCTGCGGATAGTTCCCTTCCTTGCTGAAAACAGGGTGCGTGAACCAGCCCCACTGTAAGCAACGGAAAGAAAGGGAACGACTCAATAAATTGGTTGGTACGGAAATGAGAACACTGCTGCGCTCCTGGACTGTGAAAATTTGTTGTCACTTTATGACAAAATCGTGGATGATATTTTCATCACTTTCAACTAATGACGGCCTCATCACAAATTTATGACATTTCCATCAAAAGCTCCTATACTTATTTATTGCATGGGCGTGACAACAATCTCATCAATTCTTTTGATGACACTCTCGTCAGGAAAATTAGCCTTGAAAGTGTCATCAAGTGACGAGTCAAATTTTCACAGTGTGGAGCGCCTTTATGCGTGGAGTTAATGCTTGTAGACTCGACAATAGATGCAACTCACGTTGAACTGCATCCAGCGCTGCGCGGCCGCGACGTCGTCTGCGTTGTTGGGGTCTTTGGGCCAAAAGTAGTCGGAGTTCGCTGCGAATCCAACCTTTCCTGAGAGAATGGGCAAAAGCATTAATCAGGTTGCATTCTGTGCCGCACTTAATCAGCGCTAAACCTCATGAGTCTTCCTACGAATTCCGTCAGCCCTTTCGAACTCATTGGCCACCCGCATGAATTTCCAGCCATACTTTTCTCATAACAGTAAAATATTTTTCTGGGTTGGACCTAGTTATTGAAGCCATGCATCAATTTTCAAATGTATTTTAAATGAAAATTAAATTGAAGGTGGTCACAAAGTCGAAGTGTGCTGTTGCCGTTAATTTTAAAAGTATGTACTCGGTGCACACTTCTTTCAGTGTGGTAATATTCTCAAGAGTGTCGATGACTATTGAACACCCATTTTGCAAACAAACTTGATTCAACAGATTTTTTTTCTTTTTTTCTGCTTGAAGATTTAAACAATCATTACCTATCGTCAATCCCTTTTCATCTCTTTTGCGCGACAGTTCAATTATGCTCTGGAAATAGCACGAAGTCTCGCCGGTACATTTTCCTTGCCCGCTTGCCGCACTGTAGCCCTACTCAGGCAGAAGGCACACAATTATTCCTCCATGTGCCCGCTTGAGTGCTGAGTGTACTGAGAGCACACTTTTAATGCACTGTGCACCCCAAGCAAGGACAGGGAGTGGTTTCTTGCTGCCTTCTCTTTAGGTGTGCGCTCATTGTCTCCTCCTCAGGCTCACCTTGTTGGCTCTGTTTGTACTTGGTTTCGTACAGCCGATAGGCTCTGGCGTGCGCCTTGAGGGAGTTGTGCGCGCAGAGGTAGTCGCCTCTTCCTTCTGCCAGGACGACCGGAGCCTTTCCTCCGTTGCCGTAGCCCTCCACGCACGTTGTCCATGGCTCGTTCAGCGTAAGCCACCACTTCACCTGCACCGTAGAACAGAAGAACCTCAGTTGCTTTGTGCGTACAGTACAAACCTAACTGTCTACTTAGTACACACTTACAGATGCATGCTTTCAAGCAGGGATCCTTAACATACCTCATAAGGGCATCATAACGTTATGATAAGAGTTAAAGTTAGTACCCTTTACTTCTAACATCACTGTTAAAAAAGTTATGAATTTTCAAAGCAATTTTGATGACAATTTTCCGAACACGGATATGAATTTTACAAACATTGCAATTTTCATAACTTGATGCGAAAATTCGGAACAATTTCGTAAAATTGACAATTGTTGGTAATTTTCAAACCATGTTCTGAAAATTGCGAATCTTAAGTGTTGATTTTGAGCTCACAATAGTAATTTTCCGAATCCGATTGTAAATTTCATAACTGGCTCAAGAGGCCTGGCCAAGGGGCGCTGGTAGAGTCATCAGGTAGCTGACCCTCCGCCTCCCGTGAGACGTGGTAGCACAGCGGTAAAGAGCGTGCACCACAAGTCAAAGATCCCGGGTTCGAAACCCGCTGATCAAAAGTAGAATCGGTTCAATAAATGGCATAAGGCCGCATCGGTGTTCACATGAACAATTAGTTGTCCTTTTGTTTAACTGCCCTAAAATGACCTCGCAAACGCGAATATTAATTTCATAACATGATATGAATTTTCATATCGTGATTGTAAAACAATTTACAATCATTTGTGATTTTAATTTTCATAACAATTGTTTGTGAAAAAAAAATGCCAACCAATGTTATGAAAATTACAACTGATTTTTTTAACAGTGATCTTTTCAAAAGGGTAGGTTATTTTTTTATGTCTCGAATTTGTGTGAATATACTTTTGCAAGTACTTTCATAAGTCCGTACCCTTAACCTTTAGCGAACATTGTCTTATGTTACGTTATGAAAGCAGTGTTAGTTAAACGTTAAGTTAAGTTAAGGATCCCTGCTTAGTACACACTTACAAATGCATGCTTGGCCAAGCGTTTACTGACAGGCACGCAGCAAGTGTCTACATGGCAAGTAAGCTCTAATTGGGGGACACACTGCCCCATTAAAGAGGTGTAGACATGACATGTAATCTCTTTTGACATGACAGAACTAGACAATAATTACCGTCAACCTCCAGGTTGACTCTCCCGAAGAGCCAACCATGTGCACTCTTTAGTTTGCAGAGTGAGTAAATGAGCACAAACTATCATTATGCATGCAACTGCAATCGTTAGTAATCAATATGAACTTCGCCAATAACAGCAGAAGATGACGATAAGATAATGGTAGGTTTTGAAAAAGCGATCGGGACACTGATATTTCTATTGTAAGTATGACACAATAAGCAGCGTGACAAAGGCAAATGCCTTTCGATCACTACAAATTATCTCATCTGTGACGGTAGCAATGAAATATTATCAGGTTTAAAATGCGATAAATTCCCTACACTAAAGCCGGTGTTGGCCCAAATCATCACATTTATCGTGCGTTTGTGTGAGAACACACGTAAATGCTGAATGTTTATTGCACTTAAAATGCGCTTTATGGCACTGATGGTGCGACCAAAATTGTATTTTATAGGAGTTCGTGATTACACTCACAATGACAGTGTAAAGAGTAGTTGGGGTAACGCCAGACAAGAAGAAGAAAGGAAGAACAATGCTTCAAGAACATGGCCGCCAGGAGCTTTGTCGGCTGCTAGGCCTAATCAGGAGCCTCCGGCAGCCTGTTCTTGAAGCATTTCTCCCTTTGCCCTTGTCCGGCGTGAGCTGAACTTTACTATTCTTTACACATGGGAAAGGTTTGCTTTCATGCACAACGTACCCTATCTCCGAACGTTTGGAAAACAAAATCAGCATAGTCTTGGAAGAAATCCACAATAATGTCATTGGTGAAGCCACCCAGGTCTTGCAGGGGTTGAGGCAAGTCCCAATGGAAGATGGTAACCTGACAACATAACAGAGGGGAGATGAAAAGTAAGGGAGCGGTGTAGGAGCATGTGACCTATCAGCCGTGTCTGCATCTAATGTTCTACATTCGAAAAAAGTCTACAAAGCTTTGGCTTAGTAACTACGAAGAAAATGAAGGTTTAATTGAATAGATTCGCATTATGAAAAAATGCTTCACACTCTCAGAGCCATGTGGACTCTTTTCTCGTGTCTATTAAAGTTTTTTGAGCAAACGTAAAATGTTCTATTTTCTCTCACTGAGCACGATTTTGATCGTTTTAAAGATAAGATTGTCGATAGATCCTGTAGAAATTAAAAGGACGTTGCAAGACAAAAAGACAGGTTTGATAGACTAAATTCCCTATAAAATGAACAAAATCATGCAAAGTTGAGGAGAAAATCGTACATATTACGTTTACACAAATAACTATTTGGCAAGAGATAACAGCTTA